GGAGGGGGGGGGGCACAGCACTGCACCGTACAAGCAATCCGGCACCTATAGAAACACCAGATCGTTTGTATTTAAACAGCAATCATCTGCTGTTTAAAACGGTACCAAGAACACGGCTGCAGTAGCAGCCGTTTGTGGTATAACCACTTCCAGCGGATGGCATGTATTTACATGAACCCGCTGGAAGTGGTTAATGCACTGCTGGATGTGCCTGTGCCCTCGAAAATATGTTATGTTCTACTAAACCTAAAACCCCCAAATATTAAAAAGCCACAATTCAAATTGATGCTCGTATTCTTATGTTTGCAAGTCAAACCACAGCCAAGGCTTGGAAATCCACCAGTGTTTATTGAGCAAATACAAGGTCCAGATTCACACAGACTATGAAGCATGAAAAGATAGAGCCAAGAATGTCCAAAACAAGTTACAGATATTTTTTGATTTGACAGTCCTGGATTGAACGTTTTGTACCTGGTTTTGATGGCTTATTACAACTGTGAGTTGGGCAAAGTTGGTAGCCTGCCCCTAACCCTCTCCCATGATTCTTTAATCCCCATCGATAAGGAATGTTGGCATCTTGAAGGAGGGTAAGCAACGGAAGTAAAAGTTTGTGTTGTTGCAAAGTATTCCAGGAAAGATCTAGGAACAATTGTATCTGAGCACCATTGAACTCAAATTCTGCAGATTTTGTGCTTCTGCTAAATCTCCTCCTTGAGAGCATATGAGTGGACCTTATAGATAATGTCCCTAGGTTGAGAGGAAATGCCCCGGGGACGCAGCACTCAAAGCACACACTATTTGGACTGATAGACAGGGCATTGGAATCACCGCAGTGTGAAGAAAAGGTGCGAGATCCATTGCCTACGGCCTCCATCCCTGTGAGGTAGAAGGAGACAGAGAAGAGGGTTGAGGTACCGTTGTTGAGGAGGAGGAAATGGGGCAGGCTTGAAAGGGGATGTTTCTCCACTCCTAAACCCCGGAGTTGTCAATTGATGGAGTGAGATTGTTGAAGGCAGTGTTGTTGTCAGCAAAAAGAGGCCCCAGCATCCTTTGCTGCAGGCCATTTTTGTCAAATTGGCTCTTTTATGCTCAAATACCTGCACAGGGACTCTTAGAATTCAGGGAGCAGAAGAGAGGAACTGCTTTTGGGTACCCACCATATTAAATCCCAGATACAAGGATAAAATAGCCATAACCCATGTGCATTACCGCAATGTGCATCAATGCACATTGCATGTGTTGGTGTGATGCAATACCATACATTTTGGCTGGCAACCCAATGTCCAAATGGTCATGCATTGCAATGCAGTGCGTTGCACTGTCAGACATTATACATACACCTTTTTGTGGTTCATTTTGGAGCATTTTGCAGTCCATTCAAACGAACGGCTGCCTCAGCACAACTCATGTTAACATTAACCATAATGCTTATTAACACATGTGTGCTAAAACACCACAAAGGGCCCTAATGGAGATTGAGCAATCCACTTGTAAAGTATAGGGAGCTTACATCATGACCAGCATGCATCATGAATTGCCTCAGACATATCAACCTATTGCCCCACTTATACAATATTGTTTATATGGTGTTGTTTGTAAGTGGTTTGTCTCTTTTTTTTTTGTTTCTACTAAATATATTCCTCATATAGATGTTTAGAAATTAATACAATTTTGGACTTGCTTTCGTAATTTATTTGGAACAATCTTAATCTAATTATAATAAATATTTTAAACATGTTATCCAGCAACTGGCTGTTTTCAATGCAACACATGTGACGTGTAATATGTAGGATGATGTTTAATTATTATGAGGTTTTTCCTTTTATCACATAGAACGACACAATGCAAAGAACTGGTTAACTGAGGAGCCTTCTAAAACATAATAACAGTAATTTGCAAAGGGAAGGAAAAAATGAATTCCCTCTAGTGACTAATAACATATGTTTGGAAAAGGGTGTTTACCTTGTGTGAACTCTTATAAATTGTGCCTCACACCCATAATCAGCTAGATTTATTATACTATGTGATACACATCACAAAGAACCAAAGGTAGGTTTTACATACACACAGAAATCAACACAGCCAAAAGAGAAATCCAATAAATACATTTTAAAGAATGTTTTTATATGTACGATAACCTGCTTCATTCATTTAAATATCATATTCATGGTTCCAATAACCAAAAAAACAGTAACTATTGAGTTTAAATCAGCTTTAAAGGCCCAGTCACAGTTAAAGGATATTTTCTTTTATGTTATTTCTGCAGAGCATTGTGGCCCAAGAAATGCAGCCTTGACACCTACCTACTATGTCAATTTTTAATATGCCCAAAGTTGACTACGTTTTTTAGAGTCATTATTGCTCGTAGTACATATTTTTAAATGACCGCTTTTGCAGAAAATATTGTTATCTGGTAATAGATTTAATGGTAGTATTCAGTATATAAAAACCTTTCTTTATTTCACATGCTATTCAATATATTTTGTTCACATTTACAAGCAGACCAAGCTGCCCAGCAATAGTGACATTGATAGCTGTCAAGACAAACTAAATAATGCTGGAGTGCTTATACTCATTACATTTATTTTCCCTTTTTTAATGATAATAAAGTCAAAACTCTGATTGGATCACTTACAATGGATGCTGCTCCTTGATTTATAAAGGTTTTCTCCATAGGATCCTTTCCTATACAGGATCCTATGGAGTCATGTTTGTGTGTGCTGTTGTTCCATCCTCTGTTCTCCAAGCCAGTAGATGGAGAGCTGCCACAGACTGCTCTGACCCTTCTGATCTTGTACTGGACAGGGAGTTCAGGGAAACTGAGCTGAGAGAGTTGGAGCCAGCTGTTTGGAAACATGATGACTGTAAATGCTTGGACAAAAATGTAAATAAATACTTTGCTGGGCAATGTATATTTGTGTCATCTGGATTTATTACTGAAAAAAAAGTTTTCGAGTTTAAAACTACTTTAAATTTTCATTAACAGGAAAAAAAACTCCACAACTTCTGTTATAGTTTGTCTTAACCCTTGACACACACCTAAGTTGTTGACAAATAGTGTTCTCAATGCCACATATTGCCTTAGCATTTTATACTTTTCACAGTTTATTGATTATACTCAAATTTCAGAATTCTGTTGTTCAAAATATTGTGGAAAATTCCCATATAAATATGTTTTAAGCAGTTATAATAATGATAGTTAATACCTAGATGTAAAGTAGATGTTAGTTTGCAAAAGCACCATAAACAATTACCATTTTTTTTTAAAAATATGGTTTCCACACTTTTTTCCATCTTTTGTTACATCTAAGTGCTGCCAATCATAAGCAGTCTCTTTACAGCCATTTCTTTCTAATGCACTCCAGGGTTTCCTGATGGTGACAAGATGTGATACTATGGGGGTGATTTACTAACCTAAACACACGCACGCACCAGGTGTGTGTGATTTTCACACAGCAAAACGTATTTATCAACCAAAAAGTCTCTAAAAGCATATTTCCACTAATGCCATATATGGAAAAATCATGCACATGATGCATATATAATGCTGCTTCACAGTTTAGACACAAATGGTTAGCTAATGCATTTACATTCCTGCATTCATCAACGCAAGCAACATAACATAGAGCTAATTTACACCACATTACCTTGCAATTCATTGCAGGGCTTTGCACAACACACCTGCTGGGTGTGTACACACTACAAAGGTGTTTCGATTCCTCCCATAGATCATGCTGGGAGGGAACACACTACAGAGGTGTATACACGTTCATGGTGTGTTTATAAGGTTAGTAAATCAACCCCTATGTATCAAATGTGTGGCTTCATTGTAGGTCAGTGTGCACTTACAGTGACTTCTGATTTTGAAGGTTTTTTTAACAGCAGGACGAAGAAATTGATGACTTAAGAGCCTTGGTGGAGCATCTGTGGGCTCCCAGGATTCAGAGGCTCCAATACTGCAAGAAGTGTTCATTTTCTGGGAGATGAGCAGCACTGATAAATCTGTTTAGGCTACACAAATTGCTGCTACAGATAAAATTGTTGCAAGTAGATATTTAATGCTTGCACACATGTAGTTACTTGACTTTGCCAAATGTCACATTATGATCTCTTTAAGAGTGTTCTTCCATATTTGCTCAAAGTTCAACATTATACCATCATACAATGGTCCCAATATATAATTTGATAGACACAAATAGTGTAAAATATACAACTATCAACATTTTCTTCAAATATGCAATGCCAACTTTTGTTTATCAAATCATTCACCAAAATAATGTGGTTTCTACAAAAAAAATAAGACCCCTTTCACACGGGCTGATCAGGCGGTGATCCCTGCACACCACATCGCACTGCAGGTCTGAATGGGTTCTTCAGGAATAAGGGCTCCACACTTAGCAAAGTAAAAGTTAGTGAATAACCTGAAGCTGTGTTAATGCTAAATGCCGAGTCATGTACTAGAAAATGAAAGATGCTTTTTTTTTTTTTTAATCTCCCTTGCACAGGATTGGGTATTTAAAGTGAACACAGCAAAGTAAACATACATTTTGATAGGTGAAAAGCCTATATTTGAACCATTTGAAAAGCCTGTATTTGAACCATTTGATTTCCCAACAGTTAAAGCAGAAAACAATTAAAACAATTGCATATATCATATAAGGAAAATAGTATGGATATATTTGGAAACAGAAATTAAAATATATAGAGTGCATATGAACTAAAAATGTGTTTTTCAGTATGTTTGGCTTTATGCTTTACTGTTTACAGTTGTTTCAAGTCGTGAATATCTTGCCTACTTGGAGATCCTGCCAGTTACAACACTTCCTCTTGCAGGTTGACAGCTTTAAGCCACTACATCTCAACTGGCAGCAGCTTTGAGTATGCCAAATCCGTCTGTACATTTCAATGTATTCATGCCATTATTACTAAATATTGTAAAATATTTGTATTATTCATGTTTCCTTCATGCAGTGAATATACAGTACAAACTAGTGCCATAAATGATGGTGACCTACAACAACAGTGATGGCATGAAATTCCTACTTCTTGGAATCACTGATAATCCAGATGCACAGGCACCAATGTTTCTCATATTTCTCATTATGTATCTTCTCACCGTTTTAGGAAACCTCATTATCCTTATTGTTATTTGTGTGAACCCAGCACTGCATAATCCTATGTACTTTTTCATCTGCAACCTCTCATTCCTTGATATATCTTACTCTTCAGTGACTCAGCCCAAACTTCTCTCCATTCTTATAACAGGTCCGAATGAGATCTCTTTCAATGACTGCATTGGACAACTCTATGTATTTATGTCATTGGCATGTACGGAATTTGTTTCATTAACAGCTATGGCTTACGATCGCTATGTTGCCATTTGCAAGCCTTTACATTATTCAGTTCTAATGAGAAAAAGAGTCTGTTTACAGATGGTTATTATTTGTTGGGTGGTTGGATTCCTAGATCCACTGGCTCACACTGTGGTCATATCAAGACTACCTTTTTGTAAACCACTTATCCTGAATCACTTTTACTGTGATCTGTCTCTGTTGCTCAGTCTGTCTTGTGTTGATAAATTTTTAATTGAAATTATGACTTATATAGTTGGCTCTGTGGTAGCTCTTCCTGCCTTTTTGCTAACACTAGTCTCATATGTTTTCATAATATCAACCATCCTTAATATAAGTTCCTCCTCTGGTAGACACAAAGCCTTCTCAACGTGTACGTCTCATCTAACTGTAGTCACTCTTTTCTATGGCACTGTCTTAGTCATGCATATGAGGCCTTCATCACATTATTTGCTTAAACAAGACAAACCCTTGTCTGTGTTATACACTGCTGTTATCCCAATGATGAATCCTCTGATTTATAGTTTCAGAAATAAAGATGTGAAAAATGCTCTAAGGAGGCTCACTAATAATAAAAAGTATATTTAAATTAATGTAAACACACTAATGAAAATACACAAAAAGACTTTAGAAGAATATCTGTCACTCTGCTTGGATTACTCATATCTTCATTTAAGAGAATTTAAAAAAAGAACTTAATTAGGAGTTGTTGGTGTAAAGTTCTGTTCAGAAAGAATACTCTTTTTTTATTTGAACTTGCAACATACAACTGTCTATGTAGCAACCACAGAACTGTAGAGCCAAAAGAAATCTCACCACTTCAAGTCCTTAGCCGCCATCAGGACTCCCCAGGTGCTGGTCTAATAGGTGCGTTGTCACCTTGAAATATAGTAATATACGAACAGACCGCACTATCCAGAGAATTCCAATATTTTGGACTTCATTGAAATTCACCGCAAATCCAGAGTAAGCGTGTATGTAACAGCAAATACCAGCACCACAAACCGCCAACCAGCTACAACCTTTCACATGTGTCACCTGTAGGCTTATTCATAGAGGTCTATATGCTGTTACATACACGCTTACTCTGGATTTGCTGTGAATTTCAATAAAGCCAAGTACTAATGATTGGAATTATTGGAACAACATAAGTGATTTGTGATTAGGATGCAAAGGTAATATGTAGGGATGCACCTATACCAATACTAGTATCAGTGCCAATGCTGAGTATTTGGACAAGTACTTGTACTCGCCCAAATGCTCCGATACTTATCCCGATACCTGAACTTCCGGTCGTAGGTAATGACTCATGGCCCAGCTTCCTGATTGATCGGGATGCCGGCTCCATGCTGATTGGCTGGAAGCTGGCTCTCTGGCCAATCAGCATCAAGCTGGCCAAACAGCCAGCTGAATGCTGATTGGCTGGGAAGCTGGCTTCCTGGCCAATCACCATCAAGCAAGCCAAAAAGCATGGAGTCGGCTGCCCAGGCCATCAAGAAGCCGGGCAGTGGGTAATGACCTGCTTCCCCGCTTCCTGATTGCCCAGGAAGCCAGCTCCATGCTACCAGAAGTAGCTGTATAGGTACTTGGTATCGACGAGTATCGAAATATAAATATCGGTACTCATACTTGATACCAAAAAACTGGTATCGGTGCATCCCTAGTAATATCTGTAAGTAAGGTGAATCAAGCCATGGAGTGTGGCACTATGTAAAGTGTAAGATCTTGAAGTTATGTAACAGTATTCATCGATATTTAAACTAAAATATATTATATGTTATAATAGGATAGCTGATCATGCTTTTTTTTTAATTTGGCAGTCAGGGTAAGTTGGGGGTTGTTCACATGAAAACGTATGTATCTAGTCAAAAATATGATTTTTGCTTCTGCAGGTATCCTGAAAACAGTCTAGATCAGTTCATCTTTTGAGGTTGATTTACTAAAGGTGTAGAGGCTGTTTCAAACAACCTGGTTCTCTTTGAATACCCAATCATGTACGAAAAAAAAAATTGCCATGGCTATTATGAAATAAGGTTAGGGACCATCAAAAAAGCATAACCTAGAAGGTTGTGGTGACGAGGAACCAAAGAATTTTGTATAGAGTTAGGAAGAGATCAAATTTATTCTGACTATGACCCCATTAAGGAAGATTTTTTCCATATTTATACACATAATAGAGGTGTAGGCAAATTCTTTAATAGGAAGTGACAGGAAATCTTCCTAGCAGAGGTGTACATGGAAATAAAAAAACCTTTTACAGGTTCTAACCCTTACTCACTATATTCAAAACCAAATAGAAACATTTAGCTGGACTTAGGATTTAACAAATATGTTGTAGTTTACATGGACAGTAACACCAAACCCTTTTGATAATATGTGAATGACAGCTCCAGATTTGGAGTGCCCATGGTGCCTTGCAGTTATCAAATCCAGTCAAATGTTTCTGTTTCAAGCTGAATAGATTTCATTACCATACAAGGGAGTTGGTTTGCTAAAAAGGTAAATCATTTTGCAAAGGGAATCTTCATTTAGCTTAGTAAAGCTGATTTCACTTCAGTTATCCAATCATGTGCAAGCAACATTATTTTTTGACATTTTCCTTGAATCATCTATTGGATATTCATAGTAAACATAACCCATCCCCTTTTATTCTCTAAGCTACATAAACTTTAACTCTGTTAAATGAACAATTTCTACTTCTTTAACCCCCCTGCCACCACCTCCTGCAGACCCTTTAACTGGATCTTAATGTCAGGAGGCAGAGACAGAGTCCTGATCATGTAACCACTGTGATTGGCTGTCAGAGAGGTGACATGATCAGAAGCCTGTCCCACTGGCTCCCAATCATTTATAATGATCAAGAGCTACCTGTTACAGCGCAATGTGCAGTGAGTGTGCTCTCAGCACACAATAGAAGAGCCCCATAGACACACACATACTGTATATGTGGCAGCCACATATTTGCGTTATGCTGGTGGGAAGAAAAAAACGAAGGGGTCTATTCACAAAGCTGCCGAGGGCAGCCGAGTGAATGACCGATCAGAAGTGAAGTGAGCCGAACACTGTTCGGCTATTCACTCCAGGCTGGTATGGCTGAAATCAGCCGTACATCGGCTTGCTTCGTGTGGCTTCGGATCAGCCAAACATGCTCAGAATTTTCGGCTGACCCGAAGTGCAGAAGGAGTTCGACTCAGCCGATCCAACATCTGGATCGGCTGAGCCGAACCTCCGGCAGGCTTCACACTGCTGTTCAGGCTATTCTGAAAGATCCCGAACAGCAGTGAGAGAATAGCCGAATGCCGCCGAGCGGCATTTGGCTCGGCTGTTCTGCTCGGTCCCTCAGAGGCACCGAGCAGAACAGAAAAAGAGTGAAAAAAGTAGAAAAAGTTAATAGAAAACGATTGCTGGAGACTTAACGGTCCTTTTTAAAACACACCATCAGGACTGCATAAACATTGAAAGATGAAAAAAAGGAATATAAAACCAAAGCAATTCCTACTGGGTTTTTATCCCACCCGGTTAACTGTCTGATACAAAACCAAGAGTTGTATACTCACATACTGTATATTTAGAGCTTTGGCTACTCTATTGTCTTCAACATATGGGGGTTATTCTGGGGGAGGGGGTTATAACTGAGCCGAAGTGTAGGGAGCAGGACCATGTTCGGCTATTCACTTCAGCCATGTGCGGCTATTTTCAGCCAAACGTCGGCTGGCATCAGCTCTCTTAATTTCCTTTGGTTCAGCTGAACAGCCTCAGCATGTGCCATGCAGCATTCGGCTTGTTCATTCTGTTCGCTACCTCAGAGATAGCGAACAGAATGAAAACTGACCGTGTAAAGAAAAGAAAAGAAAACAGCAAGGGGTCCCCCTCCCAAACCATACCAGACCCTTTAGGGCTGGTAGGAATGTTAGGTAGGACCCCCGAGTTAAAAAAGATGCATGTTCCCTCCAAAAGCCATAACAGACCCTTTAGGAGGTCTGGTAGGGATTTCAAGGGGGAACCCTAATGCCCAAAAATGGAAAAAACATTTAGTCCCCCCTAAAATTCCCAACCAGTCCTGGGCACTGGCCTGGCAAGGCAGCAAATGTGGGGGGTGGATGAGCGAGTCGCCCCTTCTCTGCGCCATACCAGGCCACATGCCCTCGGCATTGGGAGGGGGCTTTTCGAGCGAGGACCCGACCATGAATAGCCCATACAGTAGCCCATTGGTTCGGCTGAACCGAGGGCTTCCCACAGCCGAAGCGAGCCAAAGGATTAGCCAAATGCTCGGTTTAATCCTTCGGCTCCCTAGTTTATAACCCCCCATGGTGTTTAAAGGAGTACACTGTATGCAAAAATATTCTAGTGTTACACTAGCAAATACTTATTTTTGCTACTCAGATACACATTGCCCATCATCTCATTAGCAGTACATTGATTTAAAGTGACACTAAACTCAAGTATCCAAATTTTTAACAAAAATATAGCTTATTTTTGAATCGCCCTGCTGTAGATCCTCACATCATCCATGAATTCATGCTGACCAGTCCTTCCTTCTGGCGGTGGCTACTTTTGTTTCCCATTGTACCTGTGTGCGTTGTAAAGTAGCCACCGCTCTAAGCTCACGCCCATGATAGACTACAATCTCATTACAAATTAGTAAACTAAATATGAGCTTGTAGTTTATCTGATCAATGATCTGGATCTTTCAAGTAATAGGGTAAATGGAGTAATGGGGTAAATGAGAACAGAACCCTCTTTTGTTTAAATGGAGTAATGTCTGTTTCGTTTTCATGTTACACATGTATAGATATTTAGAGTTTGCAAGTAGACCAGTCATAGCATCAGAGTTCACTAGGAAGGGCAAATTTGTAAAAGTTTTTGCATAAGGATGTGTCTATTAATCCATGTCTTGGTGATTTAGATGTTCTGGTGAGTTATGTTTCTGCAGAGGAACAAATGATGCCTAAAGTCTCTGGAAAACTTCAACATGCACTCTACGCACCTGCAGTAGTGAAAGAGGAGATTTTGCGCACCCATGCTTGTAAGTCCATCATATGCCAGCAAATATGCCCCATTTTCATCTATTTAGGCAAGATGTTGTCACTTAAACTTGATCCGAATTGTTCTGATTAATGCTGGGTGCCAGAAGATTTGTTGTTTCATTGTTGACATTATTTACACAATATTTACAATCTTTAAAACATATGTGGATTCTTTCACCAAGTGTCCAGGTGGAGAAAAATGGCAATAAATGTTTCTTTTTTAATAATCTGTCTTTATATCTGTAGAGTATTTGACCATCACCATTGTTATAAAAGATGAGTTCACTGTTTTTCAAATTTAGGTAGATTCCAACTGTTTGTAGTGTCCCAGAGATCTTGATTTGGGTGTTTTTTGTATTATCAGCAAGTGCTCTGTATTTAGTTGTTATTCTTTCTATTGCCCAAATTCCTTCATTTGGTGATAAAGTTATCTTCCCTTCCCTGTTCATATGATCATCAGCTACACCAATAGTCCAGTGAGCTGCACTTTGTACATTCACCTGCCAATAGTTTTTATCTTTTTGTAAATGCTCCTTTCCTAGCACATAAAGGCGTGTGTCA